AAGAGTTATACTCTTAATAGCCTTATTATAATACTACTTAAAAGCTACTTTATAACATTTAACCTAACTTACTTTCTAAGAAATAAACCTATTATGCCTTAGAATCTAAGCCACCATTACACTATACTATACTACACTATAAAAACTACATTATGTAGTTTTTATAGTTCTAGGCTTATAAGAGCTTACAAGAACCCACTTTTTTATGTTAGCTTATAGTATAAGATTTATACTATTTATTTGTAAAACTTATAATTCTATAAGTATTTTATTAGATTTAATATAATTTTTTATATTTGAAACTACAAAAACTACAAAACTACAAAACTACACTACAGTTAATGCTCTGAGATTCCTAACTAGCCGCCTAAGAAAGCATAGATGCAGATTAAGCGTATTAGTTGCTAGGCCCTTATTAGCGAGCTGTGTATACACGGAGACCCTAGCGGCGTGGATAATGTAATTTCCGCTAGCGGGAAGGCTATTATTTACTAAAAGAATAGCTCTAAGCCGCTATCTATTAACCCTCTTAATAAATTTCTAAAACTACCGCTTCTTCTTATTAACACTTAATAAGCCTATTTAACAGCTATATAGGTGGATAAAGTAAGAGCTTTAAAGGTAAAACATGCTACGGTAATAGAGTTAATTTTAAATGGGATTAGCTAACTTATAGCGTTTACTTTAGAACTTATTCCCTTTATAGATTTTAAGAGCACTAAAACGGCTAATATAAAACGCTTAGGAATAATAATGCAGATAAATCACGGGTTGCTTGTTTTACTGGGAGTCTCTCACCCACGTCTAGAACGGATTCGCGAGCTCGTAAATTACGCAAATATAGGCTAGACGAAGCTTATGAGTACCAGAGGCGGCGGTTATACTATCACGCTCTTTTAACCGGATACTAAGAGCGAGACAATAAAAGTCCTAGAGAAGAAACTTACCGCAGAGAATTTTTAAATATACGAGACTATTCTAGGCGCTAATAGGGTAGCGGTGCTATAGCCCGCTTTATTTCGAAACGACATGGACGTTAAGGGAGGCTAAGAGATCAATCAGGAACTATTTAAGAGCGCTGTTAGCGCTAAAGGCATCGAGCGATTGGTTGGTGTAGGAAGGCGGGAAGATGGAGAAGGATGGAAATTTTGGACCCGAGCTGTTTGAGTGACTTGGAGATTGGCGTGATGGGTCACGACTTGCTCTGCCGACTGAACGTCCAAGAGACAGCGCCGACGGCCGGGTTCCATGACAGTTACTACTCTCTTTAGATTTTGTTAAAAAAAAAATCCATGTTTATCGACTGAGGCAAATGAAAAAGAGCGTGCCTTCGTATTGTTTACGAAGTAGCAAATTAATGGGTTCTGCAGGGGCATGCGCCGAGGGTGTCGGATGTGTCACCTGCTTCCAAGGCCGAGCATGAAGTGTTTTGCATTGCGTTGTGCAGGAAGAGAGGTTTAATAATTTCCAGCAACTTAGACTTGTAATAATATAACACATAAGACTAGAAAACTTTTTCTACACGGGACCGGCTTACTCCAACTGGAAGCAGAGTGATTCAAGCTTTGCACTGGGCGCACAGAATCAGCAATACTATAAACCTTGTCGGCCGGATTAGTCGACTAGTACAAATTCGCCTCCGTCAGCTTCATTCCATCGAGCCATTGGCTCTTGGCAGTGTACATAAAACGCTTGTGAGACGCATTCTCCTTGATTGTCTGCGCGATCTTGTTCTCGACTTCGCAATGACCAAGCGAACGGCCGCCAACATCAAAGGTGCAGTTCTGAGCACAAGAACGCTGAACCGGGACTGATTATAGTCGCGATCGATGAACTGGATTTCACAGTAGTCGCCTGTAGTATCGCCAACACAGAGAGTAAGGGTGAGGCTGTGGCTCAGATCTGGTTCGAACATTGCGCCCACGGTGGACTTGACGGCGGCGTAGTAGTCATTCAAAGTACCGTACCACTTTGGATCTCCTTCCGAGGCTGCAAGGGCAAGGCTGATATTGTCCACCGTCATGGCACTCAGGTCTTTTTCTGCGTCACAAGTCTTCCACCCGTTGATGCAAAAGATCCTATACGGGCCGAGCTCCATTGTCGTAGTGCCTAGATGCATTAGTTGTCAAAATGAAAATCCGAGACTCCATCAGGAGTCACAGTCTCCCAGTTGGTCTCACCGGTGTACAAGACTGGGCCGTTGGTGCTTCCGTCCGCGGTTACAGTCCATTGCCAACAGGCGTGGAAAATGTCGCCGATTTCGAACCCGGTAGGACGAAGATAGTTATCCCTTCATTGACAGCGTTTTTGCTAAAGTCGAGCTTACCACGGTGGATATGCATGATGAAGACTCAGAGAACTGAATAGTTGCAGATTCAAAATCAAGTGTAGAGTGCAGGAGCATACCATACTAGTCAAAGAATAAGAGTGTTGGCAAAGACCGGTCGGGGCCATGATCCTCATTTTACTCCTCAACAGTGAATGAGATTTTAATGTTGGGCACAGATGAAGCGCTGCCTATCCATAAAGTTGGCCTTATTCTAAGCAGTGCGGTTATTGCAGCAAACCTCCCTTTAAGTGGACTGTAACCCATTCCCAAAGAGTTCGCAAGTTCGGTGCATAACGTGCCACCCCACAACATTGTCAGCCCCCCATTTTCGTTATATCCAGGGCTCTATCATAACACATTAAAATTAAGGCATTTTTTAATGAAAAGGGCATATATTAGCTATTTACAGCTAGAACGTAAATTCCATATTAGACTGATTTATACCTGTAATTTTAAGGGTATCTTCTTTAATTGTGTGGCCGTAACGTTCTTTATAAAGAGCTATTATATAGTTAGCTTTAGCTTTAGCTTTAATAATATTAAAGATAATAGTAAAGGCTTAATTAAGGTCTTTCTTAATAGCCTTTTAGCTAGTAAGCTTTAAAGCGTTAAATTTAACTTTAAGATATTTATTTCTAGTAAATAAGGTTATAATAAGGCTATTCTTTTAATTAAAGCTATAATTAGCCTTTAAGGCTAGGGTTTAATATTCGTAATTAATGCTATTAAAATTATAGCGTAATATATTTACTTAAGCTTGAATCTCTTTACTATTATAAGGCGTTTACTAAACCTATTATTTATTAATTTTCTGCTTTTTTAGTATTATAAGCTCGTTTTTACTATTATCTTTAATAATAGATTAAAGAGCTCTTTTAATATTAATAGGAAAAATACTAGTAGCTTAAAATTTAGCTTAAATATTTATTATTATAAAGGCCTTTTTAAAAGCTTTCTCATAGGCTTAAATAAATCGCTGTTTTTATCGTGGTAATAAGATATTAAAATTAATAATACTAGCTTACTATTAATTATAGTAGGGTTTTAAGGGCCTAAAAACGCTTATATCTAGTAGCTAGGTAATATATAATATTTTTACTAGAAGAAAAAGAAGCTATACACGATTAATATAAGCTATATATATTAATTCAACTAAAATATATAGCTTAACGCCGTTTAAAATAAGAATATACTATAAGAAGAGGTTTTTAAGCGTTATTTCTAATAAAAAAACCTCTTTAAACTATTTTATTATAATTTAGGTATTAGTTTAATTAGAATTATTATAAGTAAAAGCTTAATATAAAAAATAATTAAGAAACTATTACCCTTAAAGCTTTAAGCCTTTTAAGATAACTATAAGCTTAATATAATAACTTATAGCGCTCGTATATTTAAGAATTAAAGCTCACTTATAAGAAGACTCTATTATCCTTATTAAATATCTAATAAAGCTACTTTTAATAACCTTATTAGCCTTAAAATCCCCTTTTATAATACTAGTTTTATTAAAGTTATAAATTTAAGTTAACTTAATTAATTAAACCTTAATTAAATAATTAAAAAGATTATAAAAAGCTTATATTTAATCTTTTATTACGTTAAGGGTTCTTTTAAACTTAATACCTTATAATACCTTTATTTTAACCTTTAAGTTACGTTAAAGGAAGCGATTAACCTAATACTTTTTAATTAGGTTACTATTATTACCTTAAGCCGCGATAACTTATATAATAGCTTAAACGTTATAGTAGCTAGGTAGCCTACTAGTTTGTTAGCCTAAACGCGACACACACACACTAGTAACTCTATACGCGGTATCGCGATCTAGTTACTTTCTAATTCTCGTAACTCTCTTCTTAGGGCTAGTAAGGTCCCTAAATAAGCAGTAAATTAATTTAAATAGAGTAATTAAATGCTTCTAAAATACTCGTAATCCTAATTAAGCGTATTATAAGCTATAGCCTATTACAAGTGTAAATAAGTAATTAAATAACTTAAACGATTTAGCTATATAGCGTGAGCTCGTATAAGGCCGATTAAATAACTTAGTAAAACATTAATAAAAGATCTTATAAACTTAATTATAAAGGCGAAACTTATTAAATTAAAGACTTATGCGTGTGCCTGTCCTCTTATACTAATAACGTGGCTACGATTAAATGCACTATCCGACTTCCTCCAACTTGTGAGCACAAATGCCACCACACACTAGCTTCTTTCTTATATAGAATCTAATTTACTACTTTCTCTTATCTTTATAATAGTTATTAAGAGCCTAACTTAAGCTCTTAAATTAGTTAATAACCGCGAAGTTAATTACAAAGAGTTATTTAAGAAAGGCCGTAATCTTAAGCTACTTAAACCTTTAAAAGGCTAGAATTGACGTCTTTAATAATAGCTTTAATTTTATTCTTATAAGCGATATTAGTAGGGGCTATAATGTAAATCTAGGGTTAAAAGAGCTTAATTTAATAAAGTTATTAAATGTTAAAAAAAGGGCTCTTACATTAATCGCGTCGTTATGGATGTAACGAAAATGGGGGGCTGACGATGTTGTGGGGTGGCACGTTACCCTATATTCAATTATCGGATCACGCCTAGCACCATAAGCCTGCAAGCGCAGAATTACGTGATTTTTAACATCCTAGCCAAGCAGCTACGTTGACACTATGAAGGATATTTCCACTACGAGCAATTCGGTCTAGAACGGAGCTCTCGTAGTAATTACGCCTATAATTACGCCACGGTAGGTTAAAAGCAGCATGTACAAGTAAGTGCGTTTTCAGCTGATGCAAAGAGGGGATCGTATAAGCAAACCTCAGGTGAGTGAATATTAAGCCAGCCAATTGAGAACGCGACAGCTTGAGTGGCTTAGTATTATCTTCTACCCTTCACGAAGGCTCCCTTATAGAAGATTCGAAGCCGAAGAATGGCAGGCGATTTGTTGCAACTGAGTGCGGACACTCCCACCTATCATGCCGAGTTATGTGTTGTCCTTGCAACTAAACATCCTACCAATTCTATTACAGTTTAGTATAAAGAGGGTTTACAAGCTAATAACCTGAGTTTATATAAATACACGATTCAATGATCATTAGGGACAGGTCTACTATTTAATTTAATCTATCGCTTTTAATCGTGAGAGACTTGATGTTGAGTAGCCTAGTACTTCAACGGTAGTCATAGCACATGCTATGGGGAGCATAATTACATCAGACTGTATGCATATTAACACGCAAGATTTAAACTTTGCAAGTTCCTGTTATACTGTTATAGCTAATAAAACAGCAGTGACCCTTTGGGTGGTGCGTCGTGAACGAGCCTCGGACCTGTCTCGAGGTGGTTATCACCGATTTTTCACACCAAACGGGTAGTACACCATCCCGAGCGAGCCCTACGCCTTGTAATTCAACAGATTGCACTCCTTGGCCCAATCATTTGAATCTCATCGCAACATGATGGGCTTGGGGGTCGGAGAACCTAGCCACCCATTGTAATCGGCAACAGTATACTTAGTCTTACAAACGCAGTCTACACCACTGTCATCATTTACCGTGGACTGCTGAATAGTAGGCGGGCTCGTCAGACTGGTAAAAGAGAGTCACCTCCTCCTCCGTCGAGCTCGTCGACGACTTCCTGACGACGGCGGCGAGATTGCCCTTCGGTGTGGTTGTCAGAAGCTCAGTAGAGACAATCTCCTGTCCGTCAGATTCTATGGCAAGACGCTCAATCTCATTTGCGTTGGAAGTGTAGAAGACGAAGACGTCCTTTAAATTGGTGGATACGGCGTGGGTAGCAGCCAGCGGCGTGTGTGGCGAGGCTTTAGTCACGACACCGTCGACTCTCCGCGTTGCTATCATCAAGGTCAATACAATACTTCATTTACAACAGGCTAGTATGGGTTCAGGGCAATAACTGTATCCTGCAGCCATGCCAGACCCAAGTTGGTCTGCTGGAAGAATACCACGGGCGGTTTGTTAGAAGCCGACGTCCCCGTAGTGATGTCGATGCCCAACTCGGCGTCCAGTGACCTGGCGGATGGCTCCGTTGCAATCCGTAGTCTGGTAGAAGACATGTATCTCGTCGTCACAAACGCAGGACTTGACCGCAGCCAGCTTGGAATACTGGGCCGGGACGATGGACTGGTTACGCAGTAGTCCTCTGCTTCAAGTGTCATCTTTGTAAACGGCATTGTTGAGAATGCCGTCTGTATTGACATGGAAGATGTACTGTCGCGGCAGATGATGTTAGTCTGTCGAGATCCTATGTACGCTTTGACCTGCAGATATTCGCTTACTCTGTCTTCCGTATTCTTGCCAAACGTAGCCGCCAGTGGAGTATAGAGCTTTATATCAGCGGCCCGCAAGTTGGTGATGGTGTAGGCTATCTGGGGCCTCGCATAGGTAGCCGCTTGACGCCTGGAAATAGAGGAAGATGACATCGCCATCTGCTAGTGCGGCTAGTGCAGCGTCGTGGAGAGTCGTAGTGGGAGCCATGATAAAGCGTGTTTTTGGCACTCAAAGCTGTGAAAAGGACGAGATAGTAGACGAGCGAATCGAAGACGAGGCAAGAGAGAAACTAGATTCCAAGCTTTAATAAGGTAAAGCGTGTACATTTGGAATTTTTATCCCTTTCTGATACCCATAGCGATGTGAATGTCATAAGAAATGCATGGTGGGAGGATATCATCTTCTCTATACTCGTCGAGGCACATCCATCGCATACGGCCGGTTGGTGAGGAGTACCGTCTTCCTTGCCACTGCAAAACAGAGCTGGTTACTGCTGGGGAAACAATAACCCTCGTTCGGTTAACCAAAGCCCCCAAGGTGCGTCAAGGTTTACTTCGTTCATTTAGCATACTACTTGGAAATTCGTGCGTGATGCATGTGACAAACACAACGGGCGGACTTGACTTCACATTAATCGCGACCCTTAATGAGAATGGCTTTACAAAAGATGACGGGCGTCATGTCTGAACTCCCAATTGGAGATATACTGGTGTCACACAGCCAATAGAAAGAAGCGACGTCGTAGGAAAGTGACCGGATGAAAATGCTGGTTTTTAATGCACAGCAGGCACGAGGCGACAAACCGGGCTTTCACTTGGAAATAAGGCGATAACGTTAATAAGTTTTAAGACGAGGCTACAAACATTCTACCTCTGGATGGCCTAACTGATGAGCTATTTTTCCAGTAAGCCTGGGGTTGCATTTTAACGCTCACTTAATGGCATCTAGGCTATCCTATAAAGGCTTAGCGAAGATGGACAAATCATAATAATATCTACACAATTTATACAAATCTGAATCCACGGAGAAGTTAACTGTTAGCCGCTAGGCACGCTAAATGATATAATTACTTTTATTCGTTAAACTATTTACATAACTGCTCTAGTAGTTAGAGTCTTTCGTGTGTTTTTCCCGAGCTCGGGTATATCTGCTATATATATATATATGCAGCAAATTAGCGAAAATCGGATCAGCTGTTAAATGCTAGTGGCACACAAAAAGCTTTCACCGTGTCTAGAGGGGAATAGTTAGATAGATGAAGTTGGACCGCACCTGCCTGATCATGGTGTGTGGCCGTGGTGCCGGAGTGAGTCGGCCTGCAACAAGCTTTCCGCTTCACCTAGAGCACATATATCTCGGCAAAAAATGCAGCAACTGCTCAAAGAAATGGTGCCAAAAATGGTAAATATAACAATGCCTAAAAAGAACTCCTTGTAGGACAGTGTGCAAACCTTTTCCATCTTGAACTGCTCTGATACTGCTCTGGCATGGTGCAAGATTTAGCACCAGGGCTTCATCTTTTGCACACCCTTCCCTAATCCGAAAGCCATGCCTTTAATGTCTAACATGTATGGTGAACTATACAACGCTGATGTTCTAGACCCAGCCCAATGCTCAGCTGTTTTCCAAGTTTTTTTGCGGCGGTCGACTACCCAATGGGACATTGATGCTTGCGTAAATGGAGCGACGCCAAACTACCGGAGAGTGCGGAAGTCTCGTGTCCCTCAACGGCAACGGTTTCCGGCGGATATTGAAGCTAGACAGGGTAGACATGTTGCCAATGCACCCACAAACCTGAAAGATGAGGCCTACAAGAGGCGTTCATTACATGGCTGAACCCATTTCCAGTCGTCCCAAGCTGACTGCCGACGCAAATAAAGTTCCCGTCACTCCCGTTGGCAGTAACCGCGAAATATCAGATAATGACGATGAAGGGTCCTCTAGTACACGGACCATTTCTTCCAATTCCTGGCTCATTGGGTGCGATCTTGTGAGCCTCGCCTCAAATCTTGAAAGTCCTAGTTTGGACACTTCCAATGCTTTACTTGGGCGACCCCGAAGGAGACACAACTGGGCAGGTTTAAGCAAAGCAAAAATACAATCTGGATGCTCAGCACCTCTATGTTTCTCGACTGCCGCGATAACTTTCCGAGTCAACGCTTCAGCTTCGTCTAGTCGTCCCTGTCTGGCATAAATTCGAGCGAGCTGGCCTTGTCCCATCAAGACACCCAAGTGGTTTTCGTCCAGGCTACGTATCGCAGCTGGAATCCCCTTTATGAGCAATTCTTCGCCTTGCTCGAGTTTTCCAATCTCCGTGTAGACCTTGGCAAGGTAGCATAAAGCCCACCGGGTCCAAGGATGTTCTGGTCCCAAAAGCTTTCGGCGATTCATGTATACGTCCTCAATCAATGCCCTGGCATCCTCACAACACCTCGGATCTAATAAGGCCATGGCTAGATTTGCTTTTGTTGACAGTGCATCAGAATGCATCTCGCCAAGTAGCTTCTGACGACGTTCCAGAACCTCTTTGTGAATATCGCGGCTCTCCGCATATCGGCGCCAAGCACCGAGTGTTACGCCAAAATTGTTAAGAGGCCCTAAATTCCAATGTCTCTAGATAACTTGCATGCCCTGGGCCAATTGAAGACCTCATTCGCTGTACCGTTGTTGATTGCCGCTCCAGCGCATCCTTGTATTGCCCATTTAGCCAGTACGAATGGCCAAGACGATTCATCGCTCCCAACGTTTATTCATGTTCCGGACCTAGAATTCTTGATTTTTCTCTAACCGCGTGGCTCTGAAGCGAAATGGCGTCGTCCAAACGTCCAAGCCCCCAGTAAACACCGGCAAGGGCAACCATTACCGCCATGGTCTTCTCATGGCCATGTCCCAAAGCTCTAGTCAGAACGTCTGTGGTCTCCAAAAAGTGATGCCTGGCCTGTGCAAGGAGCCCTCGCTCGGTAAAGGCGAATCTACACTTGGCCGACATTTGCACTTCATGCGCCATGGTGTAGAAAACAGTAGGCTGCAAGAGTTTAGCTGCCGAGAAGCGAAGGGACCCCATGCCGCGAATAAAGGGGGATGTAGGACTGCCGTGTTCCTGTAGACATGTTTGGAGATGCGGTAGGATCTCGCGGTGAAACTGGCCGTCATCCTCGCTGTTTCCTTCGGGTGGCAACGAGATTGACTGCATGAGGGTATTCAGTGCTACTGCAACCCAGACGCGCCGTTCTACCACGGACAGATTATCGCGCACCCAGGCATAGACCAGCGGATGCAGAGAAACAAAGTACCCGTCGTAAGAGACGAGTGGAATCAAGCAAAGCTTGGCTATAGCATAATTCACTCGATATTTCTCCAACGATCCTTGTTGTCCCTTTAAAAATGAAGGGAGTAGTTTGCCGGGTTCCAATCGACGACGGCCAAAGGCGCCAAGCCAAGAAGCAGACTTTTCTTGCTGCAGTGACTCTAAGCGCCTTTTAACAGCTCTAGGGAATATCTCGATGGGAACATTTTCAAAATGGTAAAAACATAAAATCTTGAGCAGGTCCAACGCATCTTGACGAACGTCGGCGGATGCTGTTTCCAAGGTATTCATGGACACCTCGAAGGATGAATAAAGCTTAACACATATGTTTTTCTCTGCATCTGAAGAACATATGGACATGTTTTCTTTTCTAATCCTTTCTCTGGCTTCTTTGTGAACCTCGAGATACTTGCTGAGCGAGCAGACCTTTTCCAGTATGCAGGTTCCGGCATGAATGAGAGCGAGAGCCAGGTAGCCCAACGTTTGTGTAATCAGGTTTCCTGTCGCTGTGGTTTCAGAGTCCCAAGGTTCCGGAATATCGGCTTGTGTGAGTAACAACCAAAGAGCTTCCTCTTGCTCTAATCCTCCCAGCTTAATACATCCTAGCTCGCCTTGTAATCGAAAATTGGGGCTTCGAGTCGTGATCAATATGTGTGTTGCATGGTTGGTTGGGTAAAGAGCTCGCAGGTCCATATCAGGATTGTCTGCATTGTCGATCATGAGCAGGTACGTGGCCGAAATTTGCGACAAGAAGTGTCTTCCCGAATTTTCAGTTGGTTGTAGTCCGGCGAGTTCTCCTATTTTCGCCAGGGAGTCTGCGACGGTATCGTTTGAGGCGGCTCGGATGGTAAACACGGCCGCGTACCTGATGCTTATTAGCCCTGTTCATGGGGAGATGTAGAATGAGAAGGCATTACAGGTGCTTTGACTCGTGGGCAAACTCGGCAGAAAGCTCAGTCTTTCCTGATCCACCCATGCCGTACACAACCAAGGATTTTCGACAAGAAGCCCGTGTCGGCTCACCATTTGGAAAGAACTTGGATCGCAGCATGGCCAAGGAGGATTTGCGCCCGATAAAGACGGAAAACTTCTTATCCGGCGGATAGAAATGGCCAAGCGCTTCCGGCTCGCACCGTTTCATTTCATGTATAACCCACCCAAATTTCGCAAAGCATGCAACAATGTTCATCGTTATGTTGAAAGATACATCAGAGAGAACAGAATTATGGACACCAAAAGAGCCGCCAAGAAAGACACCAACAGTAAGTAAATCCTGGTTCATTCATCAGTTGGCTGCTGAATCGCCATCTCAAACCCATCTTCGGGACCAACTGCTCAATGTCCTTCTCGCAGGACGTGACACCACGGCGTGTTGCTTATCATGGACAATGTGAGTTATTGTGCTTGGGGCCATGGCAAGATTCATCTTCTTTGCAACTCACGAATCTGCAGTCGTCTACTAGTCGTCATGAGTCGGTTTTGGTCCGTCTCAGGGGAGAAATTGGGTCGGTAATGGGGGAGTCACGCTCCCTGACTCGAGAGCAAATCCGGCAAATGCCATACCTTTCCTGCGTGATTAAAGAATGTATGTGGCCAAATACTCGACTGTGGGTTTAACCGTCAAGCTCATTGTTTTCGATAGGCCTGCGTCTTTATCCTCCTGTTCCCCTGAACAATCGAGAGGCTGTTCGAACGACGGTGCTTCCAGTGGGTGGAGGATCAGATGGACGCAGACCAATTCTGGTTCGCAAGGGGGAAGTTGTGGTGTTTTCGCAATATGTGGACTCGCGTAAAAAAAACATTTATGGGCAGGATGCCAATGACTTCAGGCCGGAGCGATGGGAGACGGGCGAGCTATCCAACATAGGCTGGGCATATTTTCCCTTCAGTGGCGGCCCCAGACAGTGTCTTGGGGAGGACTTTGCTGTCATGGAAGTTTCATACACGATAGTGAGGCTGCTGCAAGAGTACTCTGTCATCAAGCTCCCACCCGGAGAGGCCGATGAGCCAGTGGGGATGGAAAGGCAAACACTCACCCTGGTTCTTTCTATTGCGGATGGTTGCAGAGTTGATATTGCTAGGTGATATCTGATATATTGACGGTCTGGAGCTTGGGAGAGACCTTAAATGTAGCCGCTAGGATGTTGTGTGACAATTGTTTCAATATTCTGCAGGCTGCAGCCGCTAATAGGACCAGGAGAACCGCCGCGTGACTTACCTCGCGCCCTTTCTGCAAGCCATAGGGGAGAAAATGTCGGCAATTTGTAATGACTTCGGCAGTCTTCTGCTGCTTAAGGCGGCCAATTCTAGTTATGGGTGTTGCTCCCCCGGAATTTCCAGAACTTGCACTGCCTGCCTCAGAGGCCGAGTACAAATCTAACAAAGCGCCTCCTGCGAGACCCCGACCGGTTCTTATTTCTGAGCAATGTCGAGTACAGATGGCTCCGCATGACGAAATCTATAGCGTTCAACAAGTCTATACTCCTTCAGTCGGGGAGCCAGACATTAAGTGAGTTTGTTCGGGTGATGTAGTCGCTGTTCATGTCGACTGAAGCAAAATTAGCATTGTCGCTGTCCATGGCCTAGACGGCGATGCGCGCAAGACGTGGACCACGAAAGGTTCTCAAGTTTTTTGGCTAGACAACGAACAGTTTCTGCCCAAATACATCAAAAATGCGAGACAGATCGGCGGGTAAGCCTCTTCTATAGTAACAGCAAGGCAGGTTGGCCATCATGGCTTTTTGATTTGTCCGACAGTTGGCCCGAACTACACATAGACCCATCATTTTCCTCTGTCATTCTTTGGGAGGGATTATCGTGAAGAGGATGGGTGATGATATTTTATAAAGTCATGTTTCTCACCATCTACTTGCAAGCTGTGAGAAGGCCATGATATACGCCAAGGATAGAACAGCTCGTCAAGTATCACACGAGTACGATATATTTAGCTCCACGTTTGGTATCTTTTTTTTCGCCACTCCTCATTCCGGCTCTCCCAAAGCTTCCTGGGGCTGTTACCTCGACAAGATGTCTCGCTTGATCAACCCTCAACTGTCGCGGTCCGAGCTTCTGCCAGCGCTTGAAGTTGATTCGGAGACTTTACAGAACATCACGGACCAGTTTGTTGCCATTATGCGAAACTTTCGCATTTACTTCTTCTGGAAGAGCAGAAAACCGACCTGAAGTTCTTGGGCAAGGACTACATTGTTTCTGTCGAGAGTGCCGCCCCAAAATTTGACCTTGTGGAAAGAGCAGGAATTGCTGCAGATCACTCGGGCATCGTGAAGCTAGGCGATCCTAATTCCCAAGCATTCAAAATGGTCATCGACGCTCTCTTGCGCTACACCGAGGAAGCAGCCCCAATCATAAGGCAACGCACATACGACGCAGTCAATTTACTCGACTCGTTACGTCTTAGAGAAGTAGTGGAGGCAGTGGGAGGACAAGACCCTCGCATTCTAATGGGTCATGCTGGGGTGGCTATGAAAGACGGTCATGGACGCCAGAAGAGTCATCCATAATGACTTGTTTATTGAGCAATCTCATGGACCGAAAGATGCTTGAGTTTCTCAAGTCAGAACTCCACCAAGAATTGTAGATTCATAAAGCGTCAGGTAGAAAAGGGAAGCGACAGTGATAACGGTACGCTTACACGGTGTCTTCTAGTGCAGTGCAGCTCAAGCTGGCCAAGACGAGATGTGTGTCATTGAAAGTGTGACAATCCACAATCGGCTACTTTCTCAATTTCTGCTTCAAATACACCAATTTATATGTCAGAGGACTTGCAATGACCAACCAAGCATGTTATAATTAGTTGACATGGGTGTCTTCATGTAGATGAAGAGCGTATCAACCAGTTGGCTGTGCCATGCCCAGCTTTTCTCAGCTTCGCATAAGCAACCCCATTTTGGATCATGGCCATTTCTTCGTAAATCATATTTTCTTATTGAACGGGGCCCTGCACCAAACAAAGAGAAACCACCACTCGACCTCTCATGATGCCGAACTTTGTCATTGGGCCGCATGTTTGCCGAGTCAGTGTTCAGGTGATGTTGATGGTCCAAAGTTGACTTTTTTCCCGACATTGCTAGAAAGTCAATGCAAGCAACCGAGTTGCTTTTCCTTGGCCTAGCGGCGTTCGTCTATGTAATGCAAGTTTCGCCAGCATTTGATCACGCAGTCTCAGAGTCAAAGAGTTATGATTTCCATTTACACGAGATTAGCCCGTGTCCAGAGTAATATAACCATGGCAGCTTTTCTTTAACAACTACCCCAAATCACAGCCACTATCTTTTCCGAGTCCCAGTATTTGACGCGGGCGGATGACCGAATTCCTCCAGTTTCACGACTAAACCCGCAGCCCTTTAATATTTTCGTTTGCCACACGCTGAACTGCTTCATCCAAAAAATTCAGCTCCATTTGTAATGGGCAGTATTGACCAGCGTTGCACATTCCCATGTATTTGCTGCCCACATTTTGAAGTCTCTCGGCGATGTCGGCGATTGACCACCCGTTAAATGCGGTTCTAGTAGGCCAGAGACCCAAACTACGAAGAATCTCGAAGTATTCCGTTTTTCGGCTATGATTCGTACACTCTTGGGGCCTGAAGGTGGTGTTGCGACACGGGTGGCATTTCTTCGCTCCGAGAGGCATAAGCCTGTGGCATTCAATGCACACCTGTCTATGAGCCAACATGGGATGAACACAGTCCATGGGTCCTAGCTGGTCAAATACTAACTCTACGCTGTGCCGAATATCCTCGACCTTGTCTCTGATTCTTTTCACGAGTTGATCTGAACGAGGTTAGCACAGGCCCTTATATTGGCACAATTTTTTGAACGAACTCTGTAGGGCTTGGGGAAGAAACAGCTCATCTTGAGTATTAATATGGAAATTTGGTGGTAGATTTCGAATTGCAGCCACAGAGATTGTATTTACATGTTCTTCGGCCCCAAAGACATAAGCAGCAGTAAGAAGATAGTCGAAGTCCTTGACAGAGCCGTCCTCTGGTGCTTTTTGCATCCACTGCGTAATCCACGGCGTGAGAGGTCTATTGCATTGGTATTTATCGCCATGATCAGCCACCTTGAGTATCATCTGTGGTTCAAGACGGCGATAACCGTCCTCGAAGTGGTAATGCAAGATTGATAGGATCAGTTCCATCACCTCCGCGTCATCGTCATGTAGAACGATCTCGGGATTGCCTCCATTCTGGATCACTTTGCCTTCCTGGAAATTTGGGCCAAATAAAGCCTTGAAATAGTCTGAGGAAATTTTGAGTATCTCGCTAGAAACCACGAAGCGCTTGTGCCCAAAGACGAGGGTGGCGTCTCCATCCGTGCACAACTCGACGGTTGTTGTCTCCGGTTCGGATAGCGAAGAGGTCACAACCATCAGAGCCGACGATTCCGCGAGAGGTTCCATGCTGTGTCTGAAGCGCAATGCTGCGAGCGAAAAGCAAAGGAGTACCTGGTTATAGAAAACGAGGTGGGAGGCGTGTTGATGAGAAAACAGGCATCAATGGAGACGTCGGCTGCTATTGAAAAGAAAAAGAAAGAGGAAAACCTCATCTGAATCGGTGAATGAGCTTTGACAACACTCACCTCTGCTACACGTCTTGCAGAATTAAAAGTAAGCGGGAAGTGAGCGTAGCGTTGCAAGTCCAAGTGTAGCACGTGGACAAACAAACGGCGTTACAATCACTACCCGAGTGGTGAATTAGCACATGGCAAGCAGGCGACCCAGTTGGCAGCCAGGCAGCCATTAAGCAAGTCATGTTGACTCATCAACAGATGAGACTTGGGAACAAACATACGATGTCAAAGTGGAGGAACCCTTTACAGTAAAACCCAAGGAAAAAATACTAAAATCACGAAGCGACTCCCTCAGGTCAATAAAGCGGACGGAAACTACATTTATACGAGAAAGGGCGAGATGCCTTCTACATTCAGGTACTACTCGTGATAAGATGCGCCATGTCTTGAAGTCTTGGAGGTGGACAATGATGGGTGCAAAGGCAGGCTCTCGGGGTCAAGCGATACTCTGTGCTGGTGTAAATGATGAGACCGCGCTTTTTCATACATTTTTATGAAGTTTAAAAGACGAGTTTTAGCTCATATCAAGTAGTACTGCAATATGCCGGAAGGAAACCACACGATGAAAGACCTCAGATGACGCACACACAAGGATGCGTTTGAGCGTGCATGACATGCGGAGGCAATTGGACTGCAGAACCGTGATGGATTGTTCTTCCGGTTTTGGTTGAAGAGTTTAGGCATGAAGTTTCTCCCGACTGTAAATTGCAGCTTTTTGTTCAAGCTTCACAACTGCCGTGTCCCCAGTCAAGCAGGCCAACTCGGCCATGTCAATCTGACGCGAGACATGTTGCCTGCACGACAGGACCAACAAGAGAATACTTCAGGTCAATTCCCAGTGGGAACTCGAACTGCATTTGTTCTTCGGCAAATAACTCTGCTATATAACTACACTCGCCGCCTTCAGTTTGTGTCTGGTGAGAGCGCAGGTGAGTCGTGTCTGGTCCAATGCTGGGTCACGCGTTTGCAGAAACAGTCAACTGACTTGGTCTCGGCCTTTTACTTCTTCCAGCCCGGAACGGCGCACATGTCAGGGACATCTGCATTGTCTTTCTATTAGAATGGGTCACTTATTACGGGTACTAATTACGTACGTATAATTAAATAAGGGTAAACCCTTAATTATAGGTAAATAACCTTAATAATAAGCGCACTTATAAAAAGAGCATATATAATTCTCTCTTTTATAATTAAATATAAATTTATATATATATATTATTATTATAATTAATACTCTTTAAAGTATAATAATTATAAGCTTAAGAGAACTTTAAATTTCTTATAACTTTTACTTAAGAAAATTAAGTATTTAAGGTATTATTTTAATACTTATTTTATTATATTTATATATTTAATAAATATTAATATTACTTTTATAAATACTTAATTATTTATTAAGCTTAAGCTAAAGCTTTTAAGCTAATAATATAATTAATATAAAGTATTAAAGGGTTAAGCTTAAGCTAATAAGCTTTAAAATATTATAAACCTTAATTAATTAAATTACTTAATTAATACGTTACTTACTCTTCTTTAACTTACTCTAATAAAGGCTTACGTTAG